CATATCTTGAACTTCGGATAAGCAACACTCTACTCTCAACGTATTGCTACTTCATCAAGGATCATAAGGTATGATCTGTCCTTTTCCTCCCATGTCACATTCAATCTTGCCGCTTCATTTATCTGCGGGAAATCTTTGGAAATATGCCCCCTTGTCTCCAAATCCATAGCATCCCCTGTCATTGAACGTACAATCCTTGGAATAGTGACCGGTTATCCCACTATTAAAGTATGTCACTTCTCCATCGTATCACCCAAAGTGCTTCTTCCTACACTTCTCACACCACTTGGCTTCACTGCTACCCCCACACTTCTTGTCATTTGAGTAATACTTCGTGAATCTTCCTATCTTATTAGTCCCCGAAGATTCTTCAAGCTTCCTTTTCTCTCATGCCTCATCTTTTTCAAGGCCCTTCTCCCATATTTGGGCCTTAACATTCCTAGTTTCCCAGATAACGAATTTCAATGTGGTTTCTTGTTTGACCATTGGACAAAGTCCGTCGGTATTCCATTAGCAAACTTATTCACCTTAGAAAGCTCGGTGGGAACCAGGTAAGGAAGCAAATTCATCTTCTATGTAAAAGCTGCAACATACTCGTTATCTTGCCCTTCTTTAACTTTTGGAATTCAGTGTTGATATCCAGAAGGTCTTGTTCGTATCAATATTCTGTCTTCAACTGCACAAGGAATTCTTTCCACGACATCTTACTGGGCTCTCCTTTAGGCATAGTATCAAAAAAATAACTTCCACTAGTTCAATACCCCAGTCTTTAGCTGTTAGACTGCAAGAACAAACCTATGTATGTTGCTACAGTCACAACTCTCAACTACCGTCTCTAACTCGGAGATCCAGTCCATAACTTCCACTGGTGTTGGGCTTCCAGAAAGACTCAGTGATTTGGCAGCCATAAATTCCTTGCACGTGCATCCCTCTCCTTTAATCCTCACCTAAGGGTTATTCCTTCTAACCACTTAGGCTTCCAAAAGACTCACTATCCTACTATAATTTCCTTCCTTAGATTGCTCTTTATTGAGATCAGGTTGTATGATAGGTGCATTAGGCTCCCTTTCCATTTCTTGAATGAGCCGTGTCATTTATTTCTTCTGTTTTGCTACCAGAACCTTAAACATTGTCTTTGTGATAGGTTCAACTACTTATACTGCTCCAAGTGCACGTTCGACTACAGGGGACTCAGTTTGGTGATTCCCGTTACCATTTCCTAATCTACTACGTGTTCTCACCATGACGTTCTAGATACCAAAATGGAGTTTAGTGTATCGAGATGAGCATATATATAGAGAAAGTTTAGACACATAATTCTCCTTATCACTCTGAAAAGTTATATGCCAGTTCTAATACTAAAACTAAACGTTTAGAAACCTGAACACATAAAATTTCCTAATTGTAGTATGGCAGCAGACCTTGGATCTAATCAGGTAAAAACTTCCTAGGTAGGCAATCTTAGAGCATCATAAGGCATCTTATAGCATGGATAAATCATTTAGCACCTAAAAGCAATTAGGCATTATTCCTAAAATAAGATAGTGCGTGTGTCAACTCAGTGTATTACCTAAATTATTAGAGACACTTATCTCACGATCATCTCTTAGCATTCGAAGTTTAAGTCTAGAAATCCACTAAATTCCTAGGTCTCTTAAACTAATGCTTTGATACCTGCTGTGACATCCCAAAATTTACGTTCGTTTTAAAACTTTTTGTTTCTGCTTTAAAACAGAGTTTATTTATGAAAGACGAACTTTGGTCCCGTAATGTATTTTTGAAGAAATGTTTTTCATTACTATTATAAAATCTTTGGATGTAATAACTGATACAAAACATAGGAATAAATGTAGGCCTTACATCATCTTTTATTCTATAGCCTATATTTCCTCGAATCTCTCATCAGGTCCAAACTCAATATCTTTGTACTGCTTCCTATGATACAAAGAAACCGAGTGCGTCAATACCTTTACCTTGTTTCTTCATGATAAAAAAACAAAACTTACACCGGTAAGATTAAGAAATTGAAAGGAAAAAAGTCAAAGTCGATGAAGGTGCAATTCTTGAAAAAAAAGACGTCAAAATTGGCATATACTGTTGAACTAGGCCAAGCTTTACTTTCTTCTAGGGTTATCTTCAGTTCTAGAGGTGAAAATCTGAGTTGGGAGTAGACAATTGCAAAGAATTTCACATTATGTTGTTGAGAAGCATGAAGCAGTCGACATCTCTTTATTGGCTTCATCTTGGGTAGGTCAAGCTCATTTGAGAGGGTGTTTGGAAAAACAACTAAATTATTGACTTTTTGAAAATTCAATAAGTCTAGTAATGTTTTTGGCAATATGAATTTAAAATAACTTCTATTCAAAGCTTCAAAAAAGATTGGGAAAGAAAGAAGCTCAATTCCTTACTATTATTGAGGAATTTAAAACTCAATTTAATGTTCTTGAGAAACGAATTGTTTCTTTGATTGATGTTTCTTCTTTTTCTACAAATACTAAACCGGTGTCGAAGGCTCTTTCATCTGTCGAAGAGTCAATCACGAAACAATTTGCACTTATTCTAAATATGGTTCTTAGATTCCTAACAAATGATCCGCGTGCTGCTTTGCATCAAGTGTCATAAGGGGGAGATAAAGGAAATTCATTAGGGTTGGGATGTGCCAAGGATAAAGCACAAGTGGCTAGGGAATTTTTTTCTTTCAAAAAAGGTTTCAAGCCTAAATGCTCCAGTTCAAAAAATGGCAACAACTATAACTACAAGTTTAGTTGTTACTCAACGAATTAAAGTTGATTTGAGTAAACTGAGGACGAATAAAAGGGTCATCATTAAACCTAATACAACTTCAACATTGAAATCAAGAACAAGTGTTGCAGACAAAGGGAAGAACAAGTCAGTAGAGCTGTCTAAAGAAGAAAAGAAAAAGTTGTAAGAAAAAGAGAATGAAAAGCTTATACAACTGAATAGCTTTGTGGGAAGAGGAATGAATGATCCTCCTGGCCTGGACAAATGTGATATAAACAATACTTGGTATTATGAAACTATTGAAGATATTGCTTATGGGGATGCTGATGCTTTTGAGAAAGAACGTAGAGAATGTTTTTTGTTGAGAATTCTCCGATGTCGCAACTGGATTTTCCATTCAATCCATCAATGTTCACTTTTCCTCATTTAAGGTGTCAGATGATTTTTAAGATCAAGAAGCATACAAGAGTATCAAGATTTGATTGCATTCAAATTAATGGAACTAAAGTTGAAGATGTTTGATCCTTGAAGAAAATTGTCAAGCTGGTATCAATATCGAAAGATGTGCTTTTCGATAATCTTCTTCAAAATTATCGAAATAAAGTTGTAAAAGATGATAATCAAGCCTATGATTTTACTCCAGTAGACTTCCATTTGATGAATGTCAATGATCTCATTACTATGGAAAAAATCATGAATGAACTTGATAACTCACAAGTTCCAGACAAGCATGCCTATGTGATTGGATATGCTCACATCAAGAACTTTATAGATTGTTATTTTGCTTATTTGGGTTTAATAGATTTTGAGTTTGTCAAAGCCTATAATAAATCTACCAAGAATCCAAGCAATGATTTAGAAGATATCGAACAATATGAAGATGGAGAGATTTTAATGAAACCAAAAGAAGTTGTGTTTCAGGGAAAGAATGTCAAAGGTGTTTAAAAGAAGTATATGTTTTATACTGATCTTAAGGAGATGTTTTCGACTACAATCTAAACTATATTTTGGTCAAAATTATTAATTGCAAGAAGAATTATGAAGAAGCCAAAACAAAAATTCGGAAGATTCTTGTTTGGCACATGGAGATTAGAAAGCACGTTTGGAGGTTGTGAAGAATTTACCTTCATTTTAAAGATCTTGTTGTTCTTCACAAAGGGAGAGAATGTAGAAGTATGATTTGTTGTGAAGAAGCTAAATGTTGAAAGTATCTTTAAGTAGTTATTGATATCGAAGTCTCATATGTCGAAGTTAATACTTGTTGTCTATATCGAAACTGTAACATTTCAATATATCTTTTTATTTGAAGTAGTATTTTTTGTATGCACTTAAATGTTAAAGTCTACTTGTACTTTTTGTGATCAATCGAAGCTACTAGGCATGTTATCTATATATAGTGTTGTAGGTTAGAGGTTTGTTAACGCATGTATGAATATTTTCGCATTTCCTCTCACTCATACTTTTGTACTCCCTGTCCTCGTCCTCCTGGTCAACATGTGCCGAAACTTGTGTTCTTACATTACATTTTATGTTGATTCGTATATTAATTGCACAGCTTATCACGTTTATATTTTTTCAAGTAGATATTGAAAGTGTACTAATCGTAATATATAATTTTTACATGGGATTATTGTTTGTTTGATGTAATATTTTAGGTTTGGCATAAATATTCTGAATAAACTAATAATTATAAATATGTTAAGAAAAAGGACCCTTGAAACAAAGTAGTTGCTTGTACACCTACAAGGGCTACGACTCAACGAATATACCTACCAGGTTATCAAACAGACTGAAATAACAATATCTATTTTTATCTCGTACATCTTGTAGCCATGAATCGAACAAGTATATATATACACATGTGCGTATCCAAGATGGCTCATCAGAAGTTCGACTTATAACTTAAATATATTTATAGCAATTAAACCTTACCAAAATATGCGAATAGATTGTGCCTCATTAATTAGTAGCTTAACAGTTTTTAAATGATTTAATTTATGACAGGGTCAACGTTAATATTGCAGTTTTAGGTACACCGGCGACTTTCGTAGGGTTTGCTTACTGGAAATTTGCATCAATTAACAAGGAAAACACATATTATACGCTTCTTTACCATGTTCAAGGCTGTCTTTTGCTGACCACCGACCAATGAAAGACCTCAACAAAAAGGTCAACCATCCTCTCTCTTTATATAATTAACAACGACACCTTCACCTTCCTCATTTCTACATTCATCCTCTTTCTCTCTTTCTGTAACCATGGGCAATGCAATGGGTTGTTGCTACCTAACAGGTGAAGGATCATCTGTGAAGGTAATTTACTGGGAAGGGAACACAAGGACGCTAACAGGAAAACGATGGTTAGCGGGAGAGCTCATGTTCGAGTTTCCAGATAGCATGGTTTGTGACGCAGACTGCTTCTTCATCGGTCACCCAGTCCCAGCGTTATCCATTGATGATCAGCTTAATCCTGGTCAGACCTACTTTGTTCTCCCTCTCGACATCTTTTCTTCAAAGACCCTCTCAGCTTCTTCAATATCAGCTGTGCTTTCTTCAACGCCTAATCGCACCCCAATCAATTTCAAAGAGTGTCCTTTCGAGTACATAAAGGGATCGAATGGAAGGATGTTGATCAAAGTATCGCCTGAGTTTATGACAAGAATTCTTACCAGAAGAGGTAGTGGTGATGGTCAAGAAAGTGAGAATGAAAGTGGGAACGCAGTAAATGGGTTCTTGTGTAGTACACCTGAGTTAAAGAAGCAATACGAACAGTTGGTTGGGTCCAAGGATCAAACCTGGTCACCTAAGCTTGAGACTATTTCAGAGCATAACAGGATTAGGTATTCTCCTTATAGATTGATAGGGTTGGAACCGAAGAAGAAAGAATACAGTGCCTAGTAATTAGTATAAACTAACTAATTAATCACTTTTTTATTAATTTACATTATCTTGTTAATTATTGTACTTATGTGGATATATATTATAAGTTTTGAATTTGTGTTGTGAATTTTGAATGGTAAGATGTATCTACAAGAATAACCCATTATCTATTAAGTAAGAAATGTATTATTATGAAAAAAAAAACTAACTATATTTAAGGATACATAGAAAATTGAAATAGATCAATAATTATGTTTATTTATTCTTAGCATATGTTCTTTCTCAATGATGTTGATTACATCACTACAAGTATATGTGTTAATTGTTAACAAGTTATGAAATTAAATAGTAACTAAACCTTCATTCGTTCTAGCCAACTTCTTCTGGGATCACCGTTGCATTTCTGTGAAGGTTGTAATACTTGTACATCAAGATTGAATATCTCTGTTTAATACCAATTGTATTGAATTGTATACCTTCACTTGCGTTGCTAGATAACTACTTCACGTAAAAGATAGCTAAATGGTTATATAGACAAACATTTCTAAAATCGATCAAGATCTGTTCAAATTTTATATATAGTCTAGGAAAGATAGGTGCAGAGACAATATTTCACTTTTTTGTAGGTACCACTCCCAATTCCTGGTTAGTTTTTCTTGCCTATATATGCATTAAAGTTCAACATGTTGTACACTTTCACATAGATGCAGTGTTTCAAATTCTCGACATTGAGTTCTGTATGGTAGGGGAATTGGTCTAGTTGGTTTGTTTTTGGAGTTACTTCTATGCTTCGTGATTTTGAGTTCTACCGAGGTTTAGATAGCAAGAAATGCATTGACGACTCATCAGGTCAATTATCAGTTAAATATATCCTTGAGATCTTCGATTCAGTCTATAATCCGTATCATGCACATTGAAATGCTTAATGTTTATTAGTTCGGTGCCAAAAAAGGTAGCATCTTGGTGTCGTAGCTTTGGTTAAGATTTAAAAAAAAAAAATAGATGTGTGATTATTTGTATAGCCTTATTAAATGTTCCTATTGAGAGTCTTGGCAAGCATATGTCGTCATCATTAAGTATCGTCTTATGATCCATTTATTTCCGGCTGATGAGATTTTCTCTGTTTGTCGCAAGGTATGTTTGGATTCTTTTGGGGAGCATGCAATTTATTGTAGAGCTCTCACATGTTTCAAGTACCTACACGATCTAGTTAGTGATGTTCTTTTCGACATATTTAGACGCGCGGGGTTTCTGCCAAGAAAGAGGCACCTGTGAACTTTCTGACTGACCTATTGGAAGGAAGATAAAAACTTAGACCAACTGATGTTTTAGTATTTGGATGGGCTGAAGGGAAGGATGCATGTGTGGATCTAACAGGGGTTTCCTTTCTTGAGGGCTTGAGTAGTGAGGTTTTCATTGTGGGGCCAACTGTTTTAAAAGATATATCATGCAAAGTAGCAAAACATGAGAAAGCGTGCATTAAATAATCAACACCCATTTATACCTTTTGCATTTGATATTTTCAGTTTCCTTGTGCCAAAAGTTGTGGAGCTCATCAATATAATCGAACAGGTCATGCATAGTAATGTTATGACCTCAATACAGGGGCGGCTCAACTAGATTTAGGGCTCTAAGCGAACTAAAAACTTGGGGCCCTTTCGTTCCAACCCTAATTCTATATTGTGTAATAAAAACAAATATAAAAGTGAAGATTGTTTTTTTTTCTGTTTAAACGTGTACTGTTTTAATTAAACGGAGAACTCAAACTTGCAGGATTATTTTAATTCAAAAATACATAACTCAGCACAAAAATCAATGAACAAGGCAGTAGCCATATACATAGAAATTGATCAATAGATAATAACCAACATTAAGCATTTTCCTTATTTGACTTGCATACCCAAGTATTTCTATTTAATATGCTAAGAAAAGAAACATTTTATATAAAACAGTAGTTATAGTCAATTCATGAATCAAATAGAATACCAGATACCTTGACAAATTTGGTAAACACAAATTCACAAAAACACAATTCACAAGATGCAAACAAATTAAGGTTTACAGGTTTAGTTTACCAAATCATATAAATCTTGTAATACCTTGACAAGAATTAAACATATTAAGATTCAGTTTACTAGCAACACAAAAAATTAACGGAAATACTAACTCAAAAAATCAAAAATCAAACAACAACAAAGAAATCAAGAATAGAAGGTATCAAGTGAAAACAGATAATAAAAAAAACCGACTATTAACCCTAATAGATAATCAGATAATTGAAAAATCAAGTGAAAAAACACAGCACATACATTAATCATCCTAGAAATTCATCGGTCTTCATAGTAGCCGAGAATGGAGGAGGAAGAAGAACAGAAGCTATTTCAGCGGTTCAACCTTCCTTTCAGTGTTTAACAATTCAAGAATCGAGATTGAAGAAGTCTACTAGAATCGAGAAAGGGGAATCAGTCAATCAGAGATTCAGTTCGCAAGAATGAAGAAGGAAAGAAGAAGTGTGATCGTCGCTTTTGATTTGAGACGTCCTATGCGTATCAACGAATGCAGAAGCCGAGAAGAGAAACATGGAATCCACATTAAAGGATTTTGGTTAAGTGGGGCCCCTTAAAAAATGGGGCCCTAAGCCCTAGCTTATATTTTTAATACATCAGGCCGGCCCTGCCCCAATATATATATATATATATATATATATATATATATATATATATATATATATATATATATATATAGATGTTAGTTTTGACATCCAAAAAAAAAGTTACAGAACAACTTGTTGCTCGTTTACCCGCTACGTCTATGTAAAACTTTCTTCAATTAATATATTGATAAGAATAGTAACATTGATAACAAATAACCAAAGACATAACACTAAATGATTATGTGTGCACTGTGTTATACGTGTTTTAATTTAAAACTTTATAATTATTCTTTTTTGAATGGCAAAAAATTTATGATTAAAACATCATCAAAAACATCATAATGGTGTTAATATCTTTAGTATATCTTCGACCACGAACTTTTCGGAAAAAAAAAAGCCCTACACATTTTGACCGAGCATGCAGCCGTTATATTTGTTTGAATAGTAATTATCAAAAATACTAAAAATATATATATGAATTTAAAATCATATCAATTAAGGTCATGTGGAAAAAATATATAATAATGGAATATGTAACTAAATAAATCATTCTAGTAGGAATAAATAATTATGTCTATGGCATATATCCAACTTGGTTAGATATGATCTTAAAAAAATATTGTTTTAGTTATTGAAGTCTGCGTGTGAGGACTTTTTGTTGTGCATATATAGGTCTACGTCGTTTGAAGAAAATAAATAATAAGTTTTTTTACGTTTTACTAAAATATAAAAAAAAATATTATATTTAACTAATTTAAATTTTATATATTATATTTATTTTTTTTCATAATCTTTTGATTTAACATTTTTTTCAAATTCCTTTTTTGCATTTATAATATTTTTTATATTTTAAAATCGCTATAAGTATACAATATCTAACCACATTGTCTCTACACCTAAATGATGAATTTTGAATTTTGACTTTTTTTATAAACGGCGAATAAGATGCATATATTAGAAGAAAAAGAAACCATAACAAGAAGCTATGACATAAGTACATGCAACAGCAAACAGTAACATAAACTAATATACAAACATGAAAAGTAAGCAAGATATCATCAAAATGGGGAGCAGCTCCGGTCTACCCAACATTTTCTAGAATTGCCCCTGTATTTGCACCATTCAAATGCATGTAATATAATTGAATCCGCCGTTTTAGTAGGAGAGGGATGTTTTTTGTGGAAGATTTTGTCATTACGGGCTGACCAAATGTTCCACACTGTCGAGTATAAGATTGCATTAAGCACTTTCCTTTTATTTGAGCAGTTCCCCCAAGAATTCCAAACTCAATACATTCCTTGATGCAGTCAAATTCAATGCCCTGTACACCACACCATTTGAGAATCCAGTACCATACCGTCTTTGGAAAGTTGCATCCGAATAAAAGATGGTTTGCTGATTCGATTGCACTATCACGTAAGTGACAATTCAAGTTAATTACCGAAATACCCATTTTATTGAGTGCTTCTGCGACCAGAATCTTATCAAAATTGGTCTTCCATATAAAACATTTGACTTTAAGGGGGATAAGTTTCGACTAACATATTAGTCTCCCAGTTAAATGGCTACTGGAATCGTCGATTAGTCTCCTCAAAACATTGACCATATAAGTTCCTTCTTGGTGTAAGTTAAAGCGAAATTCAATTTTTGAAGAGAATTGAAACTCCTGAGAGGCAAAGAATTGATAAAACTCATGTAATTCTATGATCATATTGTTGTTTGGGGGGGGGGGTTGCATTTTCATCTCCACACAAAACCATCCACATTAATCATGTCCAAAAGTGTGCACTTTTTAACCGACTCCATGTTGTACAGATAAGGGAATCGAATTTGTAATGGGATATCACCACACCAAATGTTTTTCCAAAAAAGAATCTGTATGTTGAAGCTTTGAATTATAGAGAATATTCCACCTGGTTTGAATTTTGACTCTGATATCATAAACACGGGGCTTCATCACCGCCGCTCGCCATCAACAACAATTAATGTCTTAACATGTGTGTGCTTGTGGGCGAGACAAAGAATGGATAGAGATGTGAACTAGAAGAGGGGTCTTGATGGGAAGTATTTTGGAAAAAGAATTGAATTCGGAAACAATGATTGACGCTACAGAGAGAAAATCATGTTGAAGGATTGACATTTGTAGGGAAATCAAGAAATATGCAAACGACACTCCTCTTCTAGGTCTCACTATGCTTGATGTTGACTCTTAGCCAAACTATTTGACTATGTGGAACTTCGTTGAATCTCGACAAGATCGATTTTAATATCGATTGAATAACTAGGTAAGGATGTCACTTATGATTTTAGGTTGCTTATTATGAGACTTAGTTTAAATATGAAATCGGTTGGGTCAGAAATTGCA